GTCTCACTTTCATTTTTACCTTACTGTAGTGTGAGCAATATATGTGCAACATTATTATAAGATTCTTATGTATAAAGATATCTTACAATCCTTGTTATGAAGATACCTAATATGTTTGCTTATGAATATAATGAACATTTTTACAATTGTATTCTAGAGCCTACATTAGCTAAATATTTTAGTAAGGAATATGTTTTAAATATCTAAGCTGCAAATTGATTTGGATAATATAAATATATGTATGGATTAATGTAGCTTTCATTTACACATTTTATATGCACCATGAAGATATCTTAAAGGTAAAATTTTCAGTCAAGGAAAAATATTTTTGGGGGAATATTAACTAAATTTAGGGAGCATTTACACATACCTGTATGATTTTACTTTACGCACCTCACAAAGCTATGAGTAGGTGCTATATCTATAGTATTATCCCCTTTTACTTATAAGAAAACTGAAGCTTGAAAAGTTAAAGTAACTTCACTTATACTCTAAAGCATGTCTGTGGATTAAAGTTTCATAGTGTACTAATACAACTTTAATACTCTCCCCCCCACACAAGCCAACTTTATGGAAATGGGTATTAACTCACTTTTTCACAAAATTCAGCTCACTTCTGAAAATTAAAATTGCATATATGTATACAGCAGAATCCAATTTCAAGTGATTAAATAAGTAATAAGCAGCTGAGGAATGGAGGAAGAAGGAAAGGAAGAGAAAGAAAATCAGAACGAATATAAGCAATTCCATTAACAGACTAAACATACTAGCCTCTCGGGATTAGGACTAGAGACTTTCAATTTTTACATTACATATTTACATTACACATTCTAATTTTTTAACCCTGAGTACTGATTACTTATTTGAAAAAAAAAGAGAGTATTAAATAAAAAAAGGAACACCTCCAAAAAAAAAAACAGGAAAGAAATACCAATTTACTGGCAATTCTGCCATATTCTAAGACAACCATTATTTATACCTGAATGACTTGCTTACTAGGAATGAATAAAAGAACTTTAAGAAGTTAGACCAGGCTGTACTTTGAGATTATCAATAATAAAGTAATTCCAGAGAAGTTTCTCTGATAGAATGTGGTATTACTTATTTTAAAACTTGCTGCCTTACAGAAAGCATACAACATACCTAATATTAGTTCTAAATGATTATCTGCTGCTCAGTAATTTTATATTCTTAAACCTCCAACAGGAAGATTGAAGGGAAAGCAGTTTAAAAATTCAGCACTAATTCCATTGGAAAGATTACCTTTATGCAACATGTAAAATACTCTTCCCTGTTTAAAGACAATAAAAACTGGCTCTGTTGAACACATTGGACATACTCCCCTCCCCCTAGAGTCATCAGTTGCCTTCCTTTTGTCTTCTCATGTCCCATGTGCAGTTGGGAAAGTGACAGAAGACATTGGAAGGGAAGGACAAGGTGGAATCAGAGAAGCTGAGAAATGTCCTCATAAAAAGACAGGCTATGAGGTTAGAATATAGGAAATATGATATACTTGGGTCTGGATAGACAGAAAATGAGACAGAGGGAAGGAAACATCTTCCTCCAGATACAAGTCATTTCGGGAGGCATCAAGGTGATTGCAAACCTGTGTCTAGTAGTGACGTTTGCTTCCAAAGAGGTTCTAGAAGAGGATCTAAGAGTCTCCAAGCTTCCCTTGGAAATAGATCATCTACAGTATCCCACTGTGAAGCATGAATCCTGGTAGGGATAGAAGCTTGAACAAAATTAGTGTTTAGTAATTCATTAACAATTTTTAAGATGGCTCCTTCTGTACATTTTTTTGGTAAAGGCAGATAAACTGGCCGTCATTAAGGCATCCCGTAGTGTATGGATCAGACAACTTCTTCTCCTGTTTCCTCAGCTACTCTCACAATAAAGTGTAAGAGACTGGGACATAAAACAGCCTATCAAATAGAGTGACCTTTCCCCCACTTAAATAATCTTTGCAGTACCAATTAATAAATGCTATGTAATGAGACTAGGAAATTAATCTCTATAAATGGGTATGGAAGACTGGTGCATGTCAATCAAAAAGAACAGATATCTTATTGTTAAGTTGGGTATTTTAAATAGGAAACTAGAATGTCCAGACAAACGCTATACATTATATTGGCAACTGGAAATGCTTTGTTTTAAAATATGTGACATTGAGTGGTACCTTCACTTTGTGTTAACACATGACTGCATGGCTTATTCAAAGATATTTCTGGTTTAAAATTGACTCTTGTACTTTAAAGTAAAGTTCTGATCTAAGATTGAAGAATAAAAGCCTGAAATTGCTTTCATGCTTATTTAATCATGTGTTTTTTTAATGTCAAAATAATTTATATTATAAATGAGTTCATTTTGGCTACAAAGGACTAGTCATGATTTAAAACAAATGTGGGATACCTTCATCTACAATTTTCTGTTATGGAATCAGAACTTCTGAAAGAATGAACACATTTGAGGAAGTTCAAAGTAAGGATGCCCTTCACCTTAAAATACAGTATCATATCTTATTTTTTTAAGTCAATATTCCTCATATGGCTACAGAATAGAAATTATGCTAAAACTACTTGAGGTTTTAGATTCCCCTTTAATCAAATTCATTCAAAGTTGGGAATCACTATAGCCTTCTGGAAAATGTGTGGGTTATCAAACTTTAAATACTAGCTTTGCTGTATGTTAGCAGTGTGACATTAGTTAAACCTCCAGACGTCTACTTCCTCATCTGTCTAATGGGGTTAATTGTACATCCTTTCCAAGCTTGTTGTAAGGATTATAGATCTTTCATGTAAGATTTTATGTGAAAAGTTCAGTTCCTTGCCTAGCAGGTATGCTCAGAAAACACATTATTATTATTATTATTGCTATTAATACTATACCCACACACTGAATATAAATCATGTAACCAATTTAGCTTGCAAATTATTATATGATTGGATATTTTCAATCATGAGCTACATAATGTTTTGCAGTAAAAATTTAAAACTGCGCATGGAAATTTTAAGAGTGGCAAACAGATGGAGTTTCCAGTAAACACTGAAACTCATTTGATACTGAAACTGATATTTTATATTCAGCCAACTCGTGTCCTGATCCCTGTTCTCTATGTCCTAAGAAAAAACAAATTACAAGCTCCTCTACTACATTAATCAAGAAACATAGACATAGAATGAAAGAGAATGTTATGTAAAGTGTTATATGTTTAAGGGGCATTTGAGGTTTTCAAAATACCCGACTATGTATTTTTCAGTGAAGAACTATAGGCATAACAGTAAAATTTTAATAATATAGCTTAAAAACTATTGGCTTCAAAAGAGTTAATGAAACTTTAAGTATGTCATTCTGTGGCACATTTATTTTAAAACTATTAGTGCTTTAATTGTTAAGCTAAATGGCCTTAGTTCCATTAACATATTGAAAGTATTATAAATAAGACCTAAAAGCACTATTTGGTCTCTAAAATGGCATCAAATTAATTCTGATTTAATCGTACTTAGTATTGAAAAACTTTTTGTTGTATAAATATTAGCAGGCATAAAGACTGTCTTACTTATTAAGGTTATTATTCCTATTTAAAATACTTTTTTTAGTGCCCAAGCTCACTAGTTTTGGTGTGTTGGTGAGTTCCCAGTTGTCAAAAGGCTATCAGTATACCAAGAGTTAACAGCAGTATCTGAACAAACATATGGAACATGCACATGGATAACTTCAAACTACACTTAGACGGAATGCACTGTAATTTAAAAACCTTAATTTGCCATGCAAATTATGCTTTGCACAAGGTGAATGTCAGACATGAGAATGTTTGCACAGACAGTGGCTGTGGAACTGGCAAGGTACCTCTTCTGCCATATTTGGGAACAAGCACTTTGCAGTTAGTGAAAGCAACACATGACGTTATGAAGGGAGGGAGGTGGGAGCCAGTGTCGCTGTCTGACCCTGGCATGAGGAGAAGGCACCTTCCGACGGGCAGATGTTCGTCAGGGCCACTCCGGACAGTTTTCATTCTATCAGAATTCTATCCACTATTCTATTCCCCATTCTATCCACTAATTGAAGGAAATTCTCATTCCCTGTCACCAGAGAAACCTGCTGTATTTGCATCTAATTACTGGGAGTCAGGGAAAGCATGCATTAAATGACTGCAATGTAGATATAATTACAGTTTTCTATACCTCCACTTGATTTCACTCTGAAGTCCTCAGACTGCCAAGTGGAGAAAAATAATCTCAGCCAGTTCAGATTAACTTTAGTCAGGAGTTCTTCTGCCAACTCAGGGCTTTATTTTTTCCCTCTTTTTCCTGGGTTAGATTTACATCCTGGAGGTGCTGAGGGCGGGGGGCAGCTGATCGGCTCACCTTTCCACATAAGTGTCCACTGGCACATGGCGTCCTGGTCAGTGTCGGTGCACGCTCAAACTACTGCAGACCCCCTGCCCTCCTGGACAGGCAGCTGTGTGTGCGGCCCTCCCTGCCACAGCGGCTCCCCTCGTGCGGACCTGGAGAATCATTCTGTAGGAACGCTCTCCTGCCGGATGGCACCTGGAACACACCAGTGTCGGGGAACTCGGAGAACCCGCTGCCTCCCCAGGCTCCACTTTGGACAAAGGTGCCCTCTGTGCTCCCAACCCGTTGAGGCTTTTACTGGATAAATGACGTTGTGCACAGGACTGTTCTCAAGGCCACGCTAATATCTCACAATATTAGCTTAGATATTACTGCTGCTTGCGCTTTCTTCTCAGCCTGGATCTATCATCTCACAGACACATGGAGGCAGGTGGATGGGAGTCTTTTGTTTATTTATTTATTTGGGTGGGAGTCTTTTACGTCTTCTATTAACACATAAACTTTATGTCCCACTTAAAGCCTACTCGAAATGCAGGTTTTTGAAACTCAAAATTCCCTTTCTCACCCATCCGTGTGTTTGGGCTTTAAGAATGCTTACATTTAATTTTAGCAGTCAAGAATGGTCTGTTGTTCAGCCCTGGTGTTTCTGTGGTGGCAACCCTGCTCCAGTTAATGTACTCGGTGATCCCGTCTGACCAGTGAGAAAGCCACAGGTTTATAAAGTAACAACAGCAAGAATGAAATAATTACAATGGACACAAAAGCATATTGATCAATATATCAAAATAGTAATAAACTGTGGCTGGCTCCTCTTTCATCGCTTTACAACACCAAGCCTATGTCTGGAAAGGATCCAAGGAGAACAGTACACAGAATAGCTGAATTAGAGATTGCTTCTGTGCTTGTTTTATAAAAACAATATTTTTTACGAGTCAAATCAGATGTAGACTCCTACTGATAAGTAAAATCTCATAACTGCATCCTCTGTAACTTTTAATTCTATTTCACATCTTAACAAAGGGACTAGATTAGCCAAAGCACATTTAGTATTAAATAGTTATTTTAACAGTTTGAATTTTAGAAAAGCCTCAGATGAAGAGGCCCTTGGTAATTATAAAACTGACTAACTGTGAGTTTTGCCCTGCTTTCTTGGGATAGTTTCCTTTAGAATAATAGCTCTGATCTGTTACTTCGAACCAACAGTGTCTTCTTTTTATTTTCCCCATAACATCCAAACAATTTAACGTAGCGCTCAGGGACAACTGTGACCTGAGTCACCCCCCCATTCCGAGGCGCTGCTTGGGCTCTGCGCCTTCATGAACCGGGCCCTCAGGACCTGCTGACCTGCTGCTTTCCTCTCAAACACTTTCTGGACTCTGCGAACTGACCCAGCCTGTTCCCTTTGTGGGTGGGGGAGGGCGCTCCCTCCCTCCTCGTGAGCAGCCTACCTCTCTGTCTCCACGGGTCCCCCGGGCTGTGCCCTCCCTCCCGTCACCAGTTGTCTCCAGGCTTCAGACTCTGGCACTTGTGTGAGGTTACCCTGTGTTACAGATATATGTGTAGTAAAAAAGGACCAGACCCAGAAGAAGAAAACCTGGGTTTTACCCCTGTTTCAGATGCTGCGGCAAGGCCGTTTCACTTCTCTGAGCATCAGGTCAGTCTGTGCATCTCAAAACTGCCTTTGCATTCAATTTCAGCCTGAGACTTATTGGTTAAAGTTTTCAACTCCTTGAGCACAGAAATCAAGTTTCAAATTCCAATAGTGCTTTGTACTGAGTAAATATTTGCTGCATCAAATAGGAAGATGAAAAACAAGAAGTTTATTGATAAATCCGGTGGGGGATGTACAGTAATCTCAGTTATTTTACTGGACTACATAAGCATTAATGTTAATAAGCATTATCTCATTGAAAGGGAGTGGGCGAGGGGTTGGGTATGAGGTTCCCTTCTCCATCCCCTCCTCCTCAGCCAACAATTATGATTTCCTCTCTTATATATGCAGAGTAAAAGTGTTAATATTCTTTTTGCACAATTAAGGAGAGGCAATATGTAGTAGTTCCTAGCAAAGAAAAAGGCTGACAATTAACTGCTAATTCACATTTAATTTGACAAGCTTCTGCATAAGCTCAGAAACCCTTGCCAGGCAAATACCAAATTAGATCACTTTATTTCAAAGAAGATAAAAATAACTCACTTTCTTGACAACAGTCTAAACCTTTTCAGTATTTCAACACGTGGCATTTGGTGTTGTAGCTCACTGTCATGGCTTCATGTTGGTAAAAAATATCTATTTATTTCAGGGAAGATAAAAAATAAGCTTACCTCTCTATCCTTAGCCCATCACATCTGCTATTCAATTATGTGCTCTTTGCTTGTGGGTACCTGAAATAGTGAGAAAGAATAACAAAGAAAGAAAATTAAATATAACTCATCAGCATTTTGTAAAAGGCAAAATATTTATAGTTTTAACTNTTATGCAACATGTAAAATACTCTTCCCTGTTTAAAGACAATAAAAACTGGCTCTGTTGAACACATTGGACATACTCCCCTCCCCCTAGAGTCATCAGTTGCCTTCCTTTTGTCTTCTCATGTCCCATGTGCAGTTGGGAAAGTGACAGAAGACATTGGAAGGGAAGGACAAGGTGGAATCAGAGAAGCTGAGAAATGTCCTCATAAAAAGACAGGCTATGAGGTTAGAATATAGGAAATATGATATACTTGGGTCTGGATAGACAGAAAATGAGACAGAGGGAAGGAAACATCTTCCTCCAGATACAAGTCATTTCGGGAGGCATCAAGGTGATTGCAAACCTGTGTCTAGTAGTGACGTTTGCTTCCAAAGAGGTTCTAGAAGAGGATCTAAGAGTCTCCAAGCTTCCCTTGGAAATAGATCATCTACAGTATCCCACTGTGAAGCATGAATCCTGGTAGGGATAGAAGCTTGAACAAAATTAGTGTTTAGTAATTCATTAACAATTTTTAAGATGGCTCCTTCTGTACATTTTTTTGGTAAAGGCAGATAAACTGGCCGTCATTAAGGCATCCCGTAGTGTATGGATCAGACAACTTCTTCTCCTGTTTCCTCAGCTACTCTCACAATAAAGTGTAAGAGACTGGGACATAAAACAGCCTATCAAATAGAGTGACCTTTCCCCCACTTAAATAATCTTTGCAGTACCAATTAATAAATGCTATGTAATGAGACTAGGAAATTAATCTCTATAAATGGGTATGGAAGACTGGTGCATGTCAGTCAAAAAGAACAGATATCTTATTGTTAAGTTGGGTATTTTAAATAGGAAACTAGAATGTCCAGACAAACGCTATACATTATATTGGCAACTGGAAATGCTTTGTTTTAAAATATGTGACATTGAGTGGTACCTTCACTTTGTGTTAACACATGACTGCATGGCTTATTCAAAGATATTTCTGGTTTAAAATTGACTCTTGTACTTTAAAGTAAAGTTCTGATCTAAGATTGAAGAATAAAAGCCTGAAATTGCTTTCATGCTTATTTAATCATGTGTTTTTTTAATGTCAAAATAATTTATATTATAAATGAGTTCATTTTGGCTACAAAGGACTAGTCATGATTTAAAACAAATGTGGGATACCTTCATCTACAATTTTCTGTTATGGAATCAGAACTTCTGAAAGAATGAACACATTTGAGGAAGTTCAAAGTAAGGATGCCCTTCACCTTAAAATACAGTATCATATCTTATTTTTTTAAGTCAATATTCCTCATATGGCTACAGAATAGAAATTATGCTAAAACTACTTGAGGTTTTAGATTCCCCTTTAATCAAATTCATTCAAAGTTGGGAATCACTATAGCCTTCTGGAAAATGTGTGGGTTATCAAACTTTAAATACTAGCTTTGCTGTATGTTAGCAGTGTGACATTAGTTAAACCTCCAGACGTCTACTTCCTCATCTGTCTAATGGGGTTAATTGTACATCCTTTCCAAGCTTGTTGTAAGGATTATAGATCTTTCATGTAAGATTTTATGTGAAAAGTTCAGTTCCTTGCCTAGCAGGTATGCTCAGAAAACACATTATTATTATTATTATTGCTATTAATACTATACCCACACACTGAATATAAATCATGTAACCAATTTAGCTTGCAAATTATTATATGATTGGATATTTTCAATCATGAGCTACATAATGTTTTGCAGTAAAAATTTAAAACTGCGCATGGAAATTTTAAGAGTGGCAAACAGATGGAGTTTCCAGTAAACACTGAAACTCATTTGATACTGAAACTGATATTTTATATTCAGCCAACTCGTGTCCTGATCCCTGTTCTCTATGTCCTAAGAAAAAACAAATTACAAGCTCCTCTACTACATTAATCAAGAAACATAGACATAGAATGAAAGAGAATGTTATGTAAAGTGTTATATGTTTAAGGGGCATTTGAGGTTTTCAAAATACCCGACTATGTATTTTTCAGTGAAGAACTATAGGCATAACAGTAAAATTTTAATAATATAGCTTAAAAACTATTGGCTTCAAAAGAGTTAATGAAACTTTAAGTATGTCATTCTGTGGCACATTTATTTTAAAACTATTAGTGCTTTAATTGTTAAGCTAAATGGCCTTAGTTCCATTAACATATTGAAAGTATTATAAATAAGACCTAAAAGCACTATTTGGTCTCTAAAATGGCATCAAATTAATTCTGATTTAATCGTACTTAGTATTGAAAAACTTTTTGTTGTATAAATATTAGCAGGCATAAAGACTGTCTTACTTATTAAGGTTATTATTCCTATTTAAAATACTTTTTTTAGTGCCCAAGCTCACTAGTTTTGGTGTGTTGGTGAGTTCCCAGTTGTCAAAAGGCTATCAGTATACCAAGAGTTAACAGCAGTATCTGAACAAACATATGGAACATGCACATGGATAACTTCAAACTACACTTAGACGGAATGCACTGTAATTTAAAAACCTTAATTTGCCATGCAAATTATGCTTTGCACAAGGTGAATGTCAGACATGAGAATGTTTGCACAGACAGTGGCTGTGGAACTGGCAAGGTACCTCTTCTGCCATATTTGGGAACAAGCACTTTGCAGTTAGTGAAAGCAACACATGACGTTATGAAGGGAGGGAGGTGGGAGCCAGTGTCGCTGTCTGACCCTGGCATGAGGAGAAGGCACCTTCCGACGGGCAGATGTTCGTCAGGGCCACTCCGGACAGTTTTCATTCTATCAGAATTCTATCCACTATTCTATTCCCCATTCTATCCACTAATTGAAGGAAATTCTCATTCCCTGTCACCAGAGAAACCTGCTGTATTTGCATCTAATTACTGGGAGTCAGGGAAAGCATGCATTAAATGACTGCAATGTAGATATAATTACAGTTTTCTATACCTCCACTTGATTTCACTCTGAAGTCCTCAGACTGCCAAGTGGAGAAAAATAATCTCAGCCAGTTCAGATTAACTTTAGTCAGGAGTTCTTCTGCCAACTCAGGGCTTTATTTTTTCCCTCTTTTTCCTGGGTTAGATTTACATCCTGGAGGTGCTGAGGGCGGGGGGCAGCTGATCGGCTCACCTTTCCACATAAGTGTCCACTGGCACATGGCGTCCTGGTCAGTGTCGGTGCACGCTCAAACTACTGCAGACCCCCTGCCCTCCTGGACAGGCAGCTGTGTGTGCGGCCCTCCCTGCCACAGCGGCTCCCCTCGTGCGGACCTGGAGAATCATTCTGTAGGAACGCTCTCCTGCCGGATGGCACCTGGAACACACCAGTGTCGGGGAACTCGGAGAACCCGCTGCCTCCCCAGGCTCCACTTTGGACAAAGGTGCCCTCTGTGCTCCCAACCCGTTGAGGCTTTTACTGGATAAATGACGTTGTGCACAGGACTGTTCTCAAGGCCACGCTAATATCTCACAATATTAGCTTAGATATTACTGCTGCTTGCGCTTTCTTCTCAGCCTGGATCTATCATCTCACAGACACATGGAGGCAGGTGGATGGGAGTCTTTTGTTTATTTATTTATTTGGGTGGGAGTCTTTTACGTCTTCTATTAACACATAAACTTTATGTCCCACTTAAAGCCTACTCGAAATGCAGGTTTTTGAAACTCAAAATTCCCTTTCTCACCCATCCGTGTGTTTGGGCTTTAAGAATGCTTACATTTAATTTTAGCAGTCAAGAATGGTCTGTTGTTCAGCCCTGGTGTTTCTGTGGTGGCAACCCTGCTCCAGTTAATGTACTCGGTGATCCCGTCTGACCAGTGAGAAAGCCACAGGTTTATAAAGTAACAACAGCAAGAATGAAATAATTACAATGGACACAAAAGCATATTGATCAATATATCAAAATAGTAATAAACTGTGGCTGGCTCCTCTTTCATCGCTTTACAACACCAAGCCTATGTCTGGAAAGGATCCAAGGAGAACAGTACACAGAATAGCTGAATTAGAGATTGCTTCTGTGCTTGTTTTATAAAAACAATATTTTTTACGAGTCAAATCAGATGTAGACTCCTACTGATAAGTAAAATCTCATAACTGCATCCTCTGTAACTTTTAATTCTATTTCACATCTTAACAAAGGGACTAGATTAGCCAAAGCACATTTAGTATTAAATAGTTATTTTAACAGTTTGAATTTTAGAAAAGCCTCAGATGAAGAGGCCCTTGGTAATTATAAAACTGACTAACTGTGAGTTTTGCCCTGCTTTCTTGGGATAGTTTCCTTTAGAATAATAGCTCTGATCTGTTACTTCGAACCAACAGTGTCTTCTTTTTATTTTCCCCATAACATCCAAACAATTTAACGTAGCGCTCAGGGACAACTGTGACCTGAGTCACCCCCCCATTCCGAGGCGCTGCTTGGGCTCTGCGCCTTCATGAACCGGGCCCTCAGGACCTGCTGACCTGCTGCTTTCCTCTCAAACACTTTCTGGACTCTGCGAACTGACCCAGCCTGTTCCCTTTGTGGGTGGGGGAGGGCGCTCCCTCCCTCCTCGTGAGCAGCCTACCTCTCTGTCTCCACGGGTCCCCCGGGCTGTGCCCTCCCTCCCGTCACCAGTTGTCTCCAGGCTTCAGACTCTGGCACTTGTGTGAGGTTACCCTGTGTTACAGATATATGTGTAGTAAAAAAGGACCAGACCCAGAAGAAGAAAACCTGGGTTTTACCCCTGTTTCAGATGCTGCGGCAAGGCCGTTTCACTTCTCTGAGCATCAGGTCAGTCTGTGCATCTCAAAACTGCCTTTGCATTCAATTTCAGCCTGAGACTTATTGGTTAAAGTTTTCAACTCCTTGAGCACAGAAATCAAGTTTCAAATTCCAATAGTGCTTTGTACTGAGTAAATATTTGCTGCATCAAATAGGAAGATGAAAAACAAGAAGTTTATTGATAAATCCGGTGGGGGATGTACAGTAATCTCAGTTATTTTACTGGACTACATAAGCATTAATGTTAATAAGCATTATCTCATTGAAAGGGAGTGGGCGAGGGGTTGGGTATGAGGTTCCCTTCTCCATCCCCTCCTCCTCAGCCAACAATTATGATTTCCTCTCTTATATATGCAGAGTAAAAGTGTTAATATTCTTTTTGCACAATTAAGGAGAGGCAATATGTAGTAGTTCCTAGCAAAGAAAAAGGCTGACAATTAACTGCTAATTCACATTTAATTTGACAAGCTTCTGCATAAGCTCAGAAACCCTTGCCAGGCAAATACCAAATTAGATCACTTTATTTCAAAGAAGATAAAAATAACTCACTTTCTTGACAACAGTCTAAACCTTTTCAGTATTTCAACACGTGGCATTTGGTGTTGTAGCTCACTGTCATGGCTTCATGTTGGTAAAAAATATCTATTTATTTCAGGGAAGATAAAAAATAAGCTTACCTCTCTATCCTTAGCCCATCACATCTGTTATTCAATTATGTGCTCTTTGCTTGTGGGTACCTGAAATAGTGAGAAAGAATAACAAAGAAAGAAAATTAAATATAACTCATCAGCATTTTGTAAAAGGCAAAATATTTATAGTTTTAACTGATGACAGACACACACTTCATAAAACTATTAGCATGCAACTCCAGCTGCAAAAACTGAACAGCAATATGCCTAAGCTGGTTAGCAGCAAAAAAGTAAACCAATCACATCGACAAAAAGCCACCATAAACAAAAAAATTGTATTTAAAAGATCCACAGTTTTGGGATTCATCCCTAGCATCGAGTCTTTCACTTTCTTTTTCCACCAAAATTTAGATTACATTTGATGTTAGCAAGAGTTGCATTACTATTATTGTTAATTTTAGATCTGTTTATTACCTTGAGGGTTATATATTGTCAAATAATTTTGGTGCCTCTAGTTAATGTTAATTAGTTGTTTTAATATCCTATAGACCTATTTGTTATGTTTTTGTAGGTTTACTTTTTTAACTATCAGGAACTTAATAACTGAGAATATTTAACATTCCTGTTGCATAGGCAAAATTACAGAGTTACTGTTAGTGTTACCTGTTTAACGTTTAGTCATCCTTTGAGTCCTGCGACATATTTCCTTAATAATCATCAGCCATCAAGTCTGATAGTCTCAAAAGAAATATCAGCCCTCTAAACTGCCTTCAAGGGCGGTGATATTTAGCACTGAAAATTACAAATAAAGTTTTTGAGGTTGAATAGCAACAACTGGCCAGTGACACTGATGATTTGTTTGTCAAAACAAATTGTTATAAACTACGCAAATGAAGTCCACGCACTCCTTTGAGTGAAAACAATAAAGTGAATCTACGCAATGCTTACATGTTGGATGGGATATTTAATGTGCGGGGAAACTCAAAGGTTGAAGAACTAGGCATTTAGACAGTGGTAAGTGGTAATCTTACCTCTTTATACTCCATTACTCTTTCTCACGAGAGTCATGCTATGCAAACAAGTCAATCAGAATTTGTGTTTAGCAAGATAAAGCTTAGAGGATAGTTTAAAATCCATTTATTATTCTAAATCCACTTTGTTCCATTAACATGTTATACATTAGTGTTTACTAACCATGATTCATGTAACAGTTTAGTTTGTTAACTTTTAAATTATTTAACAACCATAAGTTATTAATACACTTTTTTAAGTATTACACAAATATCTTAAAACAGGCTTGGGTTCATTTTTGTAATTTTTAAATAGAAAACATTTTAGGCATCTCTTGAAGAAGAAATAAAGCAGGCATTTAAAGCTAGAAAACAAGTAATTCCAAATTTAGTTTTTACAAAAGTTTTCAGCTTTATTGACAAATTATGGCAAACATATTTGACAAATTGTGGTTCCTATTTAGAGAAGCTTACACATGGAACTTTATGTGTGTGTTTTTTTTCTTTTTTAACAAATACAGGTTAAAACACTGAACAAATTCAGTTAGCTACATACATACAGTAGCTGCTTGTTTTCAACTCCATTAAAACAGCATTTAAAATTAAATTTACAAACTTAATATCGAACATCTTTGTCTAACTAACAGATATTAAAAGACAGGTTAAAACATCTTATCTACAACTTTATTATCAGCTAGTTCAAAAATCATATTACAGTCTTTTATCAACCCTAAACAAAGCTTTTGCTAGTTGATCGAGACTCAAAATCTTTTAACAGATTCATGCTCTTACTTGGAAAAAAAAGAAAGAAGAAAAAAATATTACACACAACAATGAAAACAACCGAGAGAATATCATCCTACTGAATGGTTTATAGACAGTGCTTGCCAATGTCTTTTTTAGTCCGTGTTGTAAAATTATACTAGTGTCAAGGTCACGCCAACAGTATGGGGGGAAATACAAGAGATATATTGGAGTAATCATGAGCAGTTATCCCTAGAATAGAAAAAAAAAAGGACTATTACTTGTCTTTTTGCTGTTTATGTGGAGACCACTGGCTATCGACTGTCTTTGAGGTGAGGTCACGGGTGAGGAGGACCTTCAATATCTACCATAGGGGTGCTCCCTGTATGCTCCTCTGGCTGCCCTTGGCGGTGGCGCCTTGAGGCTGGAGCGGGTCGTGACCCATTCTTCTGGTGCTGGGAACAAGAGAGAGACGGTAACATGCACGTGGCTTTGCAGTTTTCAAAAACAGTCATTTAAGCTGCAAGAGTTGACTGAGATAAATCGAATAAAAACATCTCAACACTGATGGCTAAAAAAGCCTTACTACCTTTACCACAGGGACATCATCTCCAAAAAGTACATTCTGAAATGCAGCCACTTGTAATTAAACTTTGAGGACATTGTTCAAAGAAAAGAAAGTCAAAGTCCTTGGGTTAACTCCATATTTCTGTAAATGTTTTGTGTCACAAAATAGAAACAGGAGAACCAGTGTAAACCACTCCTCATTTACTCCTTTAGGCAGAAATTGGATATAGGAGACCAGTGGTTCTTAGCCCTTGATTGACTTGAGAACCACATGGGAGTCTTAAAACAAAACAAAAACAAAAATTGGCTGTTCTCTGTCTCCCAAGTCAAATGATTAGAAAACTACAGGTGGGACCTAGGATTTGGTATTTTCCGATGCTTCCCTAGATGTTCCTTATATGGTTTCAGGTTGAGATCCATAGTGCTAAACTGTCCTGGACAAAGTTCGTGAGAGACAAGCAGGATATGGAGTACATTTAAGCAGTAAAATCAATAAAGAAAAAGTCTCATATCAGTCTTTTCAAATGAACAACTTGGAAAGTAAAGAGATATTAGTACATTAGGAAAACTCATTTCCCAATTAATCAGATTTCTAGGAACCTCAGTGTTTTGGAACCTAACCAAAAAGCAACACCCAAGCCATGGAGCCTTTGAATACTGTGGAAAATAGCCTTTGTAAAGTCTATGTATCCAGAAGGGCAATGTGGCCCTCATTCAAAGGGCCAGGGTCTTAATATGGGTTTATGGTGGCTTCTCATGTGACTCCCGAAACTAAGTGTTCTGGGTCTTCAATCAGAATTCAGTAGGGAGCAGATTTCATGCATGGGGGTGTGGTGGGAGGAAGCACAGACTTGGAAAAGAGATTACTAGAAAGGGACATGCTGACATTGATAGTTGCTTTTAACAGCTGGTGGTATTGGACATATCAGCTGGAAAATCCATCCTGTTTTATTATTGTTTTTAATAGAAGGATGTACCACATTTTACTTCATTTGTTCTGGAGTGTTAGAGACCCCTGGATTGCAGTCTGATTCTTGGGCTTTATAAGCTGAGATAACATAGGTTTCAAGTTGTCCCAGGGAGTGGATGTACCGGATCCTTTCTCAGATGCTGACTGTTAATGGTAGATTCTGCAAAACTGTTGAACAACCATGAGCAGAGTGACAGCAGAATCTGCCACTTCTACCCCCAGACTTGTCAGAAGATTTGAACTGGCACAATCCCAGGTACTTGCTACTGACCACATGATTGTTTAGTAAGAGCTCATTGACCGGGCTGTACCTGACCTTTTCTGAAGCTCTAGAGAAGTTATTTAATGGGCTAAACCTTTCATTTCCTGACTATTGCCTCAGATTCAAATGGGGAGTGTCACTGTTCAGTGCTAAATTTCCAGTGCCTAAAAAAAGACAAACTAAAACAAAAAATACAGTGCCTGCTAGGGCTCAAATACAATGAAGGACTGCATTAATGAAAAGATGAATGAATGAGTACTTGTAGGAATTGTGGCAGAAACAGTTTCCAATGACA